CCTGGCGGCACAGGCTGTCCAAGGTCTCCAGCTGGCTCTGTCGGCCGATGTTGGGCTTGTACACGGTGAAGTGCTTGCCGCGGTTCTGCTCCGCCAAGAGGCAGCTGGGCTTGTTGCCCCGAACCTGGGCGGGTGGGCAGACCATCAGAGCAGGGCCCCAGGGCCGTGGCAGGAGTGGGGGCTCCGAGCGGGTGCCTGGGGTGCAGGCCCCACCCACCTTGTAGGAGAGGTAGAAGCCGTCGTAGGGGCCGGTCAGCTCCAGCGACTTGGCGAAGGCCTCCTCCCACCTCAGACCGCGGTCCACGCTGATCTGCGGGAACAGACGGATGGGCGTGAGCGGGTGGGGCGAGAGGGGCACGGGGGCGGGGCTGCACCAGGGCAGGCTGACCTTGTAGAAGACCACCTGCCCGTCCTGTGGGTGGCCGGGTGTCAGGAACACCTGCTGACTCTCCTCGTAGATCTCGTCGATGCCCGGGGCCAGGTCTGAGGGGAGGGCTAGAGTGAGGGGCTGGTCCCAGCTCGGGGCCGGCACCACAGGTCACCAAACAGCCCGTCTCACCCCGGGGAGACGGCAGGCCCTGGCCCAGCACGCAGATGGCTGTGGCCCCTCCACACCCCAGTGGGCCCTCTGCCCTGGCGCTGTGACCGTGCTGTCCGGGGGAGCGGACCGTGCTGGGCCAGCTGCGCCCTGCTCGCCCGGCCTCCACACAGGGTCTCACGGCCGCACTGCTGCCTAGGCCGGCTGTGAGCCTGACAGGCCGAGTGGCTGGGACCACAGCCCAGGACACCTGGCTTCAGGGCGGCCAGGACGCGAACCCAGGCCCCACATGGCCTCGGCCCGAGGAGGCAGGTCCAGCACAGAGGAGTGGCCGGGGCTCCCCATGCTCATCACACAGTAACGTCCAGGATCACAGCCAGCGGTCAGGCCCAGGTGAGGACGGAACGGCCTGGCAACACAGAGAGCCTTCACCAAAGCCAGGCGTGTGCAAGGGCCGGGGCTCCAGAGTCCTTTAGGACAGACCAGGGCCTCTGCACCAGGTGCTCAGCCTCACACCCCGGGTCAGAACAGGAGAGCCCGCTCGGTCCTTCCTGCCCACCCCACCCCACCCCGGCCCTCTGGTCCGCCCAGGACGCTCACCCAGGATGCCCATGTCGTATTTGCCCTCCCTCTTGTCCCTCTCGATGAGGTGGTCGAAGGTGTCGGAGAAGTACTGGAACAGGGCGTTCTGCTTGTGCACCTCCAGTCCGAGGATGCGGTTCAAGAACTTGGTGATGGAGCAGTCTGGGGGAGGGGACACCTCAGGCCGAGTCCAGCCCTGGCCTGTCTGCCACCCCAGCTGGCCGGCCACGGGGACCACCGCCTGGACAGCACGGGGACTCACCCTTCTCCACGTCCAGGCAGCCGGATCGGGACTCGCGCCCGCCGATGCCCACCGACAGCAAGCCCTGCTTCATGTCTGCGGGAGGAGGGGTCACTCACGGCTCCTGCTAGGCCCACACTCCTGCCCCGTGACCCTGGTCTGCTCCAGCCTCAGGACCCCGCCTGGGGCTGCTGGTGTGTGGGGAGGGTGGGGCCTGGGGGCTGAGGGTTCCTCCTCCCACGCTTTTTTCTGATCCAAGGGCAGGTTCCGGGGCCCAGAGCCCTCAGCCCAGCCCGCGGTTGGCTCTCTGCCAGGAGCACGTGGGGAGGGAGCAGTGTCTGCAGAGCCCTGCATCCCAGCCTGCTCTTGGCCCTCACCTCCCACAGGGGCCCACACACCTCGGAAGAAGGCAGCACCCCCTCCTGGGTAGCCCTTGGGCAAGGGCACCCTGTTCTCCGTCTGGTTCAGGATGGTGGTGAGCACGCAGCTGAGGGCCCGGGCGCCGTACTGTGGGAGGGGCCGTGAGTGGGGCAGCTGGTCGGGCGGCCCAAGGGGTGGCGCGGCCCTGCCCTCATGTCCATACCTTGTTCTCGAAGTTGTACTTGCTCAGGTCTCGGGACTCGGTGGCTCGGCGGTCTCCGTGGGTCAGGGCGCCCTGCCAGGGCAGGGAGGCAGTGGGCACCCAGCCCGGCCCGGTGGGGAGCCCGCCCCTC